ATCCTTATTATGATACTAATTTTTTTGCAAAACATCGTGTGCCCAGGATTTAATGCTTTACACTACATCCAAGATGTTTACCAAAACTCTCAATTCGTTGAGGAAATATTATCAAGAAAAAAAAGGGAAACATTCAAATATAAAGTAGATTTTTTAGAATATTAAGTAAAAGATCTAGAAGAAAATAGAGAAAAAAGCAGAATATGAAATAGAAAAATCTTCGTGTGCCCAAGATTTAACGCTTTATACTACATCCAAGATGCCTACCAAACCTCTCTATTCGATGAGGAATATTATCAAGAGGAAAAAAGGGAAACATTTGTATTATAGATTTTAGAATAAAGTAAAATATACAGTGTGAGTCACACGAAAAATTACACCTAGAAAATTGCTAACGATTTTATTAATCATCTATGAACAGTAAATAATTATACATCTTATGAAAGAGTGTGTTATCCCTAATCATTGGGTATCATTTTTGTGTGGTATGTGTTCACGCTTGAATGAACAGGAGGCATTGTTTGCGAGAGTGCAAAAATCGACTTGCGCCAAAGTTGCTTATGTGATGTTTGAATAAAACAATTGGGACTTTGGTATAAATTCGGTCATTGCAGATCCAAATAACTTCCCCAACAAAATTAATCATGCCACACATATCAAATATCAACGACAAGTGTGTGCACGTGCACGTGTGCGTGTGTGTGTGTGTGACTTTGCTTCTGCAAAAAATCCTATGCAATGCATCTCATATTGATACATTCAATTCATTCTCTCACTTTAATCCCAACATATCACATACTGTAGGCATCACTTTAGCGCAAGTCGATTTTTGCACTCTCGCAAACAATGCCTCTTGTTCATCCAAGCGTGAATACATATAGAATGATACCAAATGATTTGTGATAAAACGCTCTTTCATGTATAATAATTTTCTGTTCATAGATTATTTTTTAAATAATTTGCAATTTCCTAGGTGTACACTTTTTTTTTACTCACACGGTAAAGAAGAAAATAGAGAATAAATAATATGTGAAATAGAATATAATGTAGAATACAAGATGAAATATAGAATAGAATATAAAGTAGACTATAAAGCGGAAGATATCAGAATATATTAGTCTATAACGATTAATTCAACCAATTCTATATTTCAAAATTCAAATGAAAGTTTAGTAATATATACACGAATTTGCACAGTGCACTACTACAGTAATCATAACCATGTCCATGTTCATAAAAATCAAGAGAAATACAAAGAATCTTTAATGAATTGAATTCATGGCAACTTTAGGAGAAAACATATCACCATTAACAACTTATGAATTATGTTTGTAAGATAATTTGTGAGAAGCCGGGGTAAGGTATTACAAAATATGTAGGTGGGTAATGCTTATTAACTGCGGTGAGTGTGTAATTTTTTCTTTCATAATCTTATTCTAGTTTTCTATATAGGTGCTGCGCTCTTTCCCAATGTTGATCCTTTCAACCATAACAAATAATGACAGATGGCAGAAGAGTATGCTTATGTCATTAATCATGACCCTAGATCTGACGTCACATTTACACATATCACCACAGGCGCGGATCCAGGATTTCTTTGATGGGGGGGGGGGCCAATATTTGTTTTTGCTCCCGCAAATTTGAAAATCGCGCCGGCCGAAAATTCACTGTGGGGGGGGGGGGCACGTGCACCCTGTGCCCCCCCCCCCCCAGATCCGCTACTGCACCAATATCATTGAGCCTACATTTATCTATATGACCCCTTACTAGTCAGGTTAAAATACGAGATAAAATACCCCAACCCAAAAAGAATTGCAACAAAGGTTTGCGAACGGTTTCCGGTAGTGGTAGACATCAGGAATGATAATAAATCTAAGAAAATCGGACCCCGGAAAGGGGTTATTTTCAAGATGGCTGCCAATACCTTCAATCGGCAATATTTCATGATTATGAATTGTAATCATGGCAACTTTAGGAAAAAACTATCACTATAACACTCATTTATCATATCAGACGCGGATCCAGGATGTCTTTGAGGGGGGGGGCACATTTTTTTTTTTTGCTCCCGAAAATTTGAAAATCGCGCCAGCCAAAAATTCGCTCAGTGGGGTGGAGGGGGGGGGTAGTGAGCACAATTTTTTTAGGCAGGGGGGGCACATGCCCCCGGGGATTTTGGTGCCTATACCTAGGCCTTGGGGTCGAATGATCCATGTTACTTCTTACAGTAGGTTATGGCCACCAGGACACCTGGAAATAACAGATGGTGTCCAACATGGCCGCCAGTCTCCTTATACTATTTAGTATTTACAGTAGTTAGCTCTAGTTGGCAAGATTAAAATATGTTTGAGACGTCAGTCTATTCACGGGTTAGCTTCAAATTTTCTTAAAGGATTTAGAAGAGCACAATGTTCATAACAATACAAAATGGCCGCTGGAAACCGAAATAAGACATAAATCGTGTTATTTCTATTTAAGATATGTTTAGAAAACTACATGGGGGTATAGTATGGACTATGTTCCGTGTTAACTAGTAATTCCACATAATTCCTTTTTTGATTAAACTACTAAAAAGCAGCATCCCTCCAGACAACAAAACACATAATAAATGATCACAAATTGATTATGATTCAATCTGGCTCTATTATAATTTCACATAGGCCTAAGTAACAATGATTACTGAATTATCAAAAACCTCCTCTGTCTATCTCAACAGTGACAGACAACTAAAATATCACTAGGCCCTTGGTAGTTACTATTAATAATCAAACATCGATAACTTCCAAAAGCAAATTGATGTAAAGGAGACTCAACTTAGTCATTATGGTATTAATGATTACCACTTTACACAAGTCTCGAAATATCAGGAGTCCTGCTCAGTACAACTTTAGACAGTACTAAAACAGAGTCAGTTAAATATCATTCACACTGAATAATAACACTAGTCTACAACCAAGTAATTACTACTCAAATCTAAGCTAGACTTAGGTCTATAGCGTTTAGATTTAGACTTACTTACCTAGGCACGAAATTTTGTGGTGTGTATGTCACTATATGTACGGCATGCACAACACGAGAAAGCAACAGCAATAGATCGGTGAATCTAGACTAGGTCTAGACCAGGCCTTCTCAACTGGCGGCGCGCGCGCCACTTGTGGCGCTTTCGGTCAGTCGGAGTGGCGCGCGACTGTTGTAACAACAAAAAAACAGAAAAGAAAGAAAATATAGGCCTATATTTAAGAATTAAATACTCAGCTAAATCAAGAAGTCGCAGTCGAATTTGAGCCCAAAATGCCTGCTTAACAAACAGGAAGAAAGGGGAATTTATCGTTTATTACCATTTCATACGACTCTAAACCTAAGCTCTGAACAACAATTAGCTTATAATGGGCTACTAATTTTAACATTGCCGATCTCTGGAAACATCTTGTTTTTGTTTGTTTGATTTTCACTTTTATTTATTTGACATTTCCTGTGTTTATAGCACCAAAAAACTACATATAAATTTACCTCCAGTGTAATTGAACCCAGGAATTGTACTAATTTTTTAACATCGATATGAAATCATGATTGATTATATTGTGGAATGAAATGATGTTAAACTAGAACTTCGACTGCGCGCAGTCGAAAGTGATGCCTCCGTCATAGAGCAATTTTACAAACCAAAACAGAAGAAATTTTTCAAATTCAAGTTCAATTGTAATCCATTAACAGGTTCTCAGAATATCATGATTACAAGCAATTTCTCATATACATATATGACCCTTTGATCTTTGACCTCATGACCCTAAAATCTACTCCGTTCATTGGCTCTGCAAGATGTTTTGAGTTAAATAGTAATCCATCTGTCAGTTCTAATGAGAATGCGTATCACAAGCTATTTTTGCATACATAATGAGCCCATGAGCTTTGACCTTATGAACCAAGAATCTACAAAGTTCATTGGCTCTGCAAGATACATAAATAATCTAAGTTTGGCAGGAATCCATCAATCTGTTCTAATGATAATGCGATCACAAGCTATTTTTGCATACATAATGAGCCGCATGACCTTTGACCTTGACCTCATGACCCCAAAATCCAATCAGTTCATCAGCTCTGCAAGTAACATACATGACCTAAGTTTGGCAGGTATCCATCAATCGGTTCTTCAGATAACGCGATCACGAGAACGGGACGTACGTAGTACGTACGGACAACCCGAAAACATAAATGCCCCATTTGGGCCTTTGGAAAGCCCTAAAATCCACCAACTTCACGGGGCTCCGCCCCCTGCACCCCCATTAAGGTTTTGCCCCTGGACCCCACCCGTTTTCGGCTTGGTCAAACATACAGGGTGGCACTTCAACTACAAATTCTCTTCGTTTTGGCACTTCTAATAAACTAGTTGAGAAGGCCTGCTCTAGACTAAATTAGGTCTAGACTAGACCCTAGTGCAAATATGTGTTAGTGTTACAATGTATGCGTACGTACTCAACAACAGGTACTCAGTTCAGTCAAAGTTAGTCAAAATAACCATCACAATGACCCAATAATAAAAGATGCATAAATCACAGTTATAATATAGGTCTAGACCTAGATGTCTAGACCTAGTCTAATTAACGTAACGTGAGTCCTGGGAGTTGAATTCAAAGTACCTAGGTGCAGAAACTAGCTAGGCCTAGTTGAAAACGGTGGTCGATGAGCTGGTTGTCGATCGAGTAGAAGATGCAGACGATGATCGACGCTAGATGAATACAACGATGATGAAGACGATGATGAAGACAGCTATGATGAAGACAATGATGAAGACAGCGATGATGAAGACAACGCTGTTGAAGATGGTGACGTTGTTGGCGACGGTCTCGTTGATGATGGTGATGAGACAGTCAATTAATAGATGAATAATGATGATGCAGTCAATGTCAATTATAGATCAACTTGTGGTGCAGGTCGAAGAATCAAATGTCGAGACAATGTATATAATGATTGTGAAGTCGATGATAAAAAGTTGTCAAACAATAATGCAGGTGAGAAAAAAGATATATCATAAATGTTCTATTCTCACTGCACGGCGAATGTAAAGTGTCGTCAATGAAGAACACAAGAGTCAAAAATTATATCTTGCAAAAAGTACAAGACGTAATCGGTGAGCAAGTCCACCGGTAATGGTCCGGGGACGAAGTAGTTCAATCCTGGTTGGATAAAATTTGACAGGTACAATAAACACAACAACAACGGTGTGTGTACGGTACCGGTACCGATATATTTAAAAGCCTACTGATTTCCACACACAGGAAAATCGGAAAAGCCCCAATCACAACTGCAGCGTGATTGGTTCAAACACGCACACATGTATGTTAATTAATCACGTGATCTAAAAACTTATGAGTAGGTACGCGCGCATATATGTTAATTAATCATGTGATAGAAAAACTTATGAATAAACATTGTTTTAGTAATAAATCCAGTGTTATTTTTTTATGAAAAAAGTGCCAATTATTTTGTAGAAATTTAATTCGTGAAATATAATGCGCTGTCAGTTTGAAATTTATGAGTTATTTGTAATATTTGTTGACAGATATATTTTGCCTTACTTGTATCAAGTGTTAAGGAGTAGTCAGCCAAAACGCGAAATTTACATTCAGCATGTTATTTCATTTAGTGAATGTATTTTGATGATTGTGATCTATGGTGTAATGAGTTAGCCAAGATTGAAAATAACTACTGGAGACTTGCTTACAATGTATTTATTATACTTGATTTTTTTGCCCTTTCTTTGGAATATAAATACAACTTTTACGATGTTTTGGTTATTGTTCTCATTGTTATGTAGGAAGGTGAAGTACAAGGCCAAAAAAGGAAAGCCCAGGAGGTCCCCTTGAAGGATGAGAGAGATGGAGTAAAGGTAAGCTTAAACTATTTATTAGGCTGGACATTTGATAAATTGTTAGTGTTTAACCTCATTCTCAATAGGAAATAAGATATATTGACAGTGGATACTGCAAATGTTAATCAAGTAGTGTGGCTTCTCCATGAGACTTGAACTAAACACAAATTATGTTATAGTAACAGACTTTGAAAATATGTGTCAGAAAGACACTTTTATGGCGAAAGTGTAGTCAAGAATACCCTGCTTCAAAATGGTTTGATCCAAGAACTTGTGCACTTCAAAACTTCAGAGCAATTGTATTTCTAGTAAGTGATGATATTCTTTCTGTTAGTGATGGCCTATCGGAAGAATTTTAAATTCTCTTTTGAGAATGAATTCCTATATATTAAACGTGCTTTCATCTTTTAAAAAGAGGTTTTTAAAATGAATGGGGATATGTTAATATTTCCATAACGGAGGAATTGTCTTTTGGTTGTCACAATGGAGCAATAAGCAATACAACTTGATGTAATTACCTCAACTTGAAGTTAATGGGGAAGATGACCAAATGTTTATTCAATAGATTTGTTTTCATTGTGCACAATATATTTCAGAGGTGAGAGAAAATTTGTAGCGGTCAACCTAAATCGGAGGGGGCTTCCAGAACGACGTTATTCATTAAAAACATTGAATTAAAATGTGGAAATGGGCGGTTGTGTCCCCCCCCCCCCCCCCCCGCCTTGATGACGAAATAAATTTGCTTGATATAGGAGTTGTATAAAATCATAGCAATAATTATATTTAGCGGGCATGTATGACTGGAAATTGACCAATGGGCAGAAATAGACATCTATGATTTTTTCCATACCGAGCAAATGGGAGGGCCCTCGCAATATACGTAACAGAGTTGCCAATTTGTGTTTCATCGCAACATCAACATTTCATAACTTATATTTGATCAGATTTTGCTCAAAATTTTTGTTCACACATTCCTCTCACTTACTTGCTATTAAAACCAGCTTCAGGGTGGAATTCCCCTTTAAAATTCTTATTTCATTACCCCCAAAACGAGGCCTGGGCGGGGCAGCTGATCATTACCACATTTTATGACACGTCACAAAGTATAGAAGAATAAATTATCAATTGCATTCAACACTCATATTTGAACATTGTACACTACTCTTTACAAAATACATGTATATGTCCCCGTTGAGCTACCGTTCAGATCCAGATACTGGCCAATAGTGAAATTTAAAAAGTAAGCTAGGCTCAAAAACACATTTTGGCTCAAAATTTATATTCCACACGTGGAATAGAATTTTTTCGATGAAATTCATTTTTTAGAAGACTAAAATCACCAAAATGCTTTTTTAATTACAAATTTTGATTTTTCCATCGGAATTGGTATCAACATGTGAATTTCATATGACACCACGTTGGTTCAAGTTTTCTTTAAAAAATCATGTCAAAAATAATATATTTTGGTCAAAAGGGCCACAATTTTGGACACCCTCTCCGCTTTAGGTCCTAGTTAAAGAGGGGGAGGGGAGCATAGGGGGCATTTGCCCCGGCAATCGAATCCCGATGACAAAAATGAAAAGAAAGAACACTGTGATGGAGAGCATCTGATTACAAAGACTGTAGTTTGAATTGTGTTTTAATGATATATTCTGGTATGGTTTATTCTATATTTTTCTCATCTTTTTCTTTTTGTTTTATTCACATTCACAGGCAAAGAGAGAAGACAATGACAGTGAGTACAATTAATTCCAACACATTCACGAATTACACCCTCAAAATGTTTATCAACGGATCATTTTTAGCTTAGTGAAATGAAACATATCTATCTTGGTTAGGTCAATATTGTTAACAGGCGGAGAGGTTTTTGTCTCGCCTGCGTAGCAAAAAGCGAGACATAGGCGCCGCTTTTCCGGTGACGGCGGCGACGGCGGCGGCGGCGTCAACATCAAAAACTTAACCTAAGGTTAAGTTTTTAAATTTTTGATATAATTTTTAAAGTATAAGTTCTTAGTCAATGAAACTTTGACTATAGGGTAATCAAGTATCCCCAATCATGTGAGTAGAATTTCAGATCACAAAGTCAAGGTCAAAGGTCATTTCAGGTCAACAGACTTGGACTATGTTGTAGCATCATCATCGAAAACTTAATCTAAGGTTAGGTTTTTGAATTTTTGATATAATTTGAAAGTATAAGTTCTTAGTCAATGAAACTTGGACTATAGGGTTATCAAGTCTCCCCCAATCATGTGAGTAGAATTTCACGTCACTAAGTTAAGGTCAAAGGTCATTTAAGGTCAACAAACTTAGACTTTGTTGTGGCATCAACATCAAGAGTTTCAAAATGCTTCTTCTTCCTTATTTTTCAACCGATTTTGATTCTGATTGTTTCCTATGATAGGGCTAGGAGGGGGATTTAAAATTTGTACACAGAATCGTGAAATTCATTATCTATGCTAATTTATGCAAATTCGAAATCACAAAAAGGCTTCTTCTCCATTTCTCGACCGATTTTGATTTGGTTTGCTTTATATCGTAGAGCTAACTTTGGTACACTAAACTTCTACACAGAATTTTGAAATTGTTCTCCATTAATTAATTATGGTAATTTATGCAAATTTATTCCAAAAATAACAAAAATTGCTCCTTTTCCCTCATTTCTTGACTGATTTTGATTTGGTTTGCCTTATCTGGTAGAGCTAAATTTGGAACACTAAACTTCTACACAGAATTGTGAGATTTTGCTCCATTGATTATTTATGGTACTTTATGCAAATGAAATGAAATTATGTCCCTTCCAGGGCATCAAATTTTATTTTTTGACCAGTTCAAAAGTGTACCACATAAAATTTATGATATTTGTTGTTGCGAGATGCGGAAGAGCGCTACGTCATTGACGTTCTGGTTTATCATATTGAATTGCGTTATGCAGGCGAGACCGCCGAGAGCGTTTCCCTTGTTCTTGGATTCAAAACATCATCTCTGCTTATCTGCTAAAACTTTGTTTTATTGTTTCTTTATTGTTAGGGAATTATTCAAATGAGAGTCATCATATTATATATAATAACGGATGTATTTATTAATGTCAATTACAATATAAGAGTTAAAAGGTAACATTCTGTTCACGTGCATAAAATCATTCCGAGAAAAACTCGCATCTTTTGCACCATAAGAGACCACTTTTCCTGTACTTCAGAACATTGCTCGATCAAAGTACCGTAAAGAGTATTGGGAAGGAAAAGTGTAAGGGATTTCAAACACTTAATCAAAAGAGGAATTTTCTTTTGTTAGGAGTAGATATCCAATAATACATTGAATAAGGTTATTCAGATATATGTAACTTAATCCCAGTTAGCTCTTCTACAGAGGTTTTGAGAGGGATATGAGGGGGGGGGTTTGTTGTCCTAAAAAGAATAATGTGTACCGCCATCCAACCCCCCCCCCCCCCCAAAAAAAGGGGGGGAGTCCTTTCTCCTTTTTCTTCAGGTTACTTGCCGAAATATCGCAAACATTTTACGAAATACTATTTACCTAGAATAAGGGATGCAAAGAAGTTTGTTTTTTTGTTTTGTTATTTGCTTTTTATTTTTTTGCTTTGTTTACTTATAACCAGATATATAAGAAAGTTGTATTCGATTACATTACACAATTTCACTTCACTTTATTTCCAGATGATTTCGGGATTTCCGTTCCACCTTTATTAGACTACTTAAGGACCATTTTAACAGAATATAGTGACGGCCAGATCATAAAGGTAAACTCTTCACCTCCAATAACCATAATTCACTCTCGTATGAAATTTGGGGCATTATACCCCTGCCACCCCCCCCCCCCCTAGAAGAAGGGTGAATGGGCACTTATAAGAAAGTAAAAAGGGGCACTAATCGGAAGGTAAAAGGGCACTTATTGGAAATGAACAAGGCACTGTCAAAGTTAAAGGGGCACTTCTCATATTCTGAAAGGGGCACTCATCAGAAAATAAAAGGCGCACCTATGAGAAAGATGCCCTTATTGCAAGAGGAATATGAAAGATGAAGGGATACGTATTGCAAAGAGAAACTGGGAACTTACCGGGAAAAGGGCACCTATTAGAAAGGGAAAAGGGCACATTTCAAAGAAAAAGGGAACTTATCAAAGGTGAAAAGAGGCACTTCTCACACCGGCAAAATGTTACTAATCAGAGGTGAAAAGGGGCACCTATAAGAAAAGGAAAGGGGGCATTCATTACGAAAGGAAAAGGGTACCTGTCAGAATCGATTAGGGGCATTTTTCAGAGGTAAAACTGGGCACTTATCTTAAGTATAAAAAAGTGCACTTTAGGGGAACATGAAAATGTGTTGGGGCAGAGTACTCCATGCACTGCCCCCACCCCCTCCCGAAGTGCCTGCCGCCTCTGATGTGGAAAAGAAAATGGTACGGAGCTTCTACTTTTTATTAATGATATAATTTTTAAGATCTAAACCTCGTTCAGAGTATTGACTAATATGTATTGGCCCTGTACTAAGTGCATCTGACTTTAGATAGACTTTGGCCTACTACAAAGAATTTTTTTGTTTAAAGTATGAGTCGGGTACATTCTTAACTTCTTACATAGGCGGATCCCGAAGAGGAATGAGGTGTGAATTGTGTTAATTTGAGGTTTCGAAACGTGAAGAGAACAAGTTTAGTGTACATGGCCATAGAATTTTTTTTTTAAAGAGCCCTAGTAAAATGACGCTGCTTTGCCTATGCAGGAGCTTGTTCAGAACGCCGAGGATGCCGGCGCAGATACTGTCAAATTCCTGTATGACGTACGGCACCATGGGACCGAGACGCTGTACCGAGATTCTCTAAAGCCTTACCAAGGTCCAGCTCTTTACTCCTTCAACAACGCCAAGTTCAAGAAAGCCGACTGGGATGGGATTCAGAAACCTGCCTGCAGCAACAAGAAGACAGATCTTCTGAAGATTGGACGTTTCGGCATTGGATTCAATTCCGTGTACCACATAACAGGTGAGAACGAAAATTACAAATGGATAATTATATCAACAAATGGAAACGTACAAAATATACACATGCTCTCATAACCACTTTATTTGCTATTGTCAAAATAATTCATTTTTGTGATACCAGTAGTAAAGCTAAAATGATCAGCCCCTCCTGAGGGGTCTGAATACTCCGGTGTTGTTTTCGGGCTATTGGCTATCGAAATCGGCTTTTATGGAAAGTGGTTTATCTTTGTAAGGTCAAGAAATTACTTGTAATTCTAAGATGAAACTAAGTTACATTTGAAAAAGACAGAGCGTGATCATAATAGTAATAGTTGATAATAGTGATTCAAAAGAAATAGATGTCATTTAAATTTATTAAATACGGAAACATCAATCTTATCAATTATTTGATTGTGCACATTAGTTATCTTCATCATCATTATCATTAAAACAATTGTTGTACTATTCTTAAAATTATTATCCTTTCGATTACTTTTCAGATTTACCGAGCATCATGAGCGACCGGAAGCTGGCATTCATTGATCCATTTGAGGAACATTTTCTTGAGGGAGGTCGGGTCAGAACTGGAAAGCAATTTTGTCTCAGATCCGACAGCGACATATTCTCGAAGAACGAAGACCAGTTTCAACCCTACCACAACATATTTCCAGGAGTAACAGGAGGGATTTCTACAGGATATTTCGACGGCACGTTGTTCAGATTTCCACTGCGACATGACGCAAATAAGTTAAGTGACAAAACTTACAACGATGAAGGCACATTGAGCGAGCTTCTTCAGGCTTTTCGAGCCGATGCTGATGTTGCTATGCTGTTTTTGCGCTCATTGAATAACATCGAGGTGTTAAAGAGGCCATCCGATCTGCAAGAGCCATCACTTGTTGTACGAGTTCGAAGGGAACACGATCCAGAAACGCATCCACAGGGAAAGGAAATTTCTTCGCGTCTAGAAACTTACTGCTCTGATGCCAGTGGGCGCAGAGAGCCAATCAAGTTGATTGATTGTGTGACTTTCACTACCGAAACACCGACGGCATCCAAGGCACAACGCTGGATTGTTAGTCATCATATCGCGGGTGATAGCATGTCTCCAGAGCTTTCCGATTTGGCCAAGAAGCAAAGTCATCTCCCGTGGGCAGCTGTTGCTGTTCCCGTGAGTTCTTCAGAACCAAGAAATGTAGCAGGTGAAGCAGAGAATAACAACATTGGTAGAGTGTTCTGCTTTCTTCCCCTTCCACCCGGTGGAGAGTTGGACGGGTTTACCAGTTCATGTGCATGGATTCTTTGCTGTCAATAGCGATCGCCGCGGGATCAAGTGGCCCGGACCTGACCAAACGGACTCTCCAGCACAATGGAACCAACTTCTTGTGAGAGAACTTATTCCACTTGTATATGTCGACGCGATCAAATACGCCATTAGTATTCACACTTCCCAGGACAGCGTGACCGCCCATTGCATCTATCGATCATGGCCAGATCATGAAGAGGTTCGTAGAAACTGGGACATTCTCTTGGAACCCTTCTACACCGCTCTCTTCCATGAAACTATCATACATAGCGACAACAATGGGTGGATGAACATCGCCGACGTCCACTTCAACGAATTGAATGTGGATGAAGATATGGAAAAGGTCATCCTCAAGTGCTTCAACATCAAAGGCATTGCATATGCAAGGGTTCCCAATGTGTGCAGACAGGCCATCAGGAAGTTCTACAAAGATCAGATATCCACTGTTTCTGCTTCCAGCCTTTGCCGTTGCCTCCGTGAAGATCCTGCGATTTTGACCAAGCTCAATGCTGATGAGAAGCTTCTGGTCCTTGAGTTCATCTTGCGGGAGGACGCCAGGCAAGATCTGGAAGGAGTATGTCTTCTCCCTCTCGATGATGGAAGCTTCCACTTCTTCTCGAGTTCTGATGAAAAGAAAGTGTACATACCAACCACCGAGTTCCATCGACAGCTTATACCAGGATTATATCATCAATTCATCAGAACGGTACCAGAGGACAAGCCGCTTCATCAACTCCTGTCCAATATCGGTGTGTTTTGGTTTTCATTATCCTATCCTCTAACCGAATTACCTAGAATAGAGATGAGAAATTCAGCAAAATTTATTATGATTGAAAGTGACCTTATTTAAGAAAAAATCATAGATTGTTATTTACAGCCTGAATCATTATATTAATTTCGTTCTATTTGTCCTGTAGAAACTGCCATGCTTCTTTAACATTTTTTTCAAAATAGTTTAATCACCAAAGTAATATCTGTTTTTTGATTTACTAGATTTATATCAATTGCATCACAGAGATTAACATTTGGGACTCTATTAATCAATGTATTTACTTAGGTCAAGTTGAACTTATTCCGCTTTTGAAATTAGACAAAATATTTCGACGGAATATGCATAGCCTGTATTCTTATATTTGATATTTGATTCTTATATTTTCCTACTATTTGAAAGTGATGCCAAATTCGACCTCGTGAGAATATTTTCATTACCTTTTGTGACAGTTTATCGAATTTCTTTAACAAAACAGCCATATAATTGACACATAGCGATTAGAGAAACGATTAACTTTTGTGTAAATTAGATAACGATTGTAAGTTGTCTTTATTTCATATGCAGATGGGCATTATCAGCTGAAAGCATTAACCCTTGATGCAGTAGCAGAGCTCTTGAAGACCAGTTTGAAAACTCGGATAGACGATCAAGGGACCTGGGTACAAGACACAGAAGAGCCTTCTCTAAATGCATGGCTTGAAGATGTCTGGTCAATGCTGTACAGAGAGAGTTCAAGTAAGTTACTTCTCTTTGAAGGTATCCATCTTGTACCATTGTTTGAGGCCGATGGTGAATGTAGAAGACTACTACCACTGTGCCCAAAGTCGGCAATTATCCAGAGAAGTCAACAAAGTCTCACATTGACCAATGATCTGGCAAACATTCTCAAACAGATTGGAGTGACAGTCACAAACTGTCCTGATTATGTTCTCTGCCATCCAGCTATCATGCGTGACGAATATATCAAGATGCCAACACCAGAAGGGGTAGTTAAATGCCTTCTGCTTTCAGATGATAAACTACTGATCCAGAGATTCCATTGCTTTTCCACTATCGATAGAGATGTTCTCGTAGAATATCTTGCACAGGCAAAACTCTCCCATGATGGTAAGAAATTTCTAAATTGTCTACCACTATTTGAAAGAGTCGATGGAACCGCAAATTCAAACAAACATGTGGTCAGTGTTGAACAATGCGAAGGGTACATCGAATGTTGCGAAGACGATATTCCTGCTCCATTGAAGTTGACGGGACTCTTGATCGATGGAAGAACACAATCTAAATGTCTGCTACAGAAGTTAGAAGTCTGTCTATTATCAAAATATCAGGTGATAATGAAAATCTTGGAAGAAATACAAAAAGGGCAATTGTACACAAGGCAAGAAGAACAACTTGTCTTGCAGTGGATAATGGAGCACTGGGAAGATATCAAAGTCAACTGCAAGTCCAGCGTAGACATTCTGTGTCATATGAAATTCATCCCCAACAAGAATAATTCTTTACTGTCTCCCTGTGAACTCCTTGATCCAAGGGATCCATTGCTTGACGAACTGTTTGCCTCTCAAGGAGTATTTCCAGGCGCACCATTTGATTCACCTCAGTTCATAGTAGCTTTCAAACAGCTTGGCATGCGTGGACCGAGTGAAGTTACTTCATCCGAGTTGATTACATGTGTTGAGATGGTTGATGAATCTCAAAGCCCAGAAAAGGCTCGAACGCTTCTAGAGCTCCTCACAAGTAACCAAAGCCTTCTCGAAAAATCTGTCATTGATCATATGAAACAGAAGCAATGCATTCCTTGCAGACAGTCTCCTCCAGAGTATTACCCCTCAGCTTTTGAGTGGTATGGTAATCGTTCTACAAGACTGTCAACTCCCCACGAAATTCTGAGAGAAAAGAAGCAAGCTGTACTGACATGTGGAGCCTCTAAATGCTTTACTTCCCAGGAGGACGAGAGTCGTTTCTCTACAGTCTACACAAATATTGGAATTAATATCCCATCTCCAATAATTTCGGACGTCATGACACAGTTAGAACACTGTGTCAGGTATGCAGAAGACAGAACTGGAGAAGATGTTACTGATATAGTACCAATGCTTAGGGAGATCTATTCATTTCTAATGGAAGCGTGGCGCCAGGACAAGAACACCAAGAACCTCATCCTCAATCGAACTAAAGTTTGTATCTGGAATGGAAGTGGCTTTTCGGAACCAAGCAAAATGTGTGTCGTGGAACCTCCGTTTCATCTAGCTCCTTACATGGCATCTATTCCGCTATCTACTATTGCATTTGCAGACTTGTTTGAAGCACTAGGAGTTGAAAAAAACATGGCGGCAAATTCCAATGCTCTGGTTGACATACTGCATGAAATCAAGAAAAGATGTGACGATTCAGAAACTGATGTGGCCTTCCAACAAGGACAGCGCCAACTTGTACTGCAGATCCTTCAACATCTACGTGCCGAAGAAGAGCTCTCAGAAGAAGCTGTGTTACGATTACTCGTTCCATCGCAAAAAGGAGAATGTCATCTCATTCCAGTTGATGAGAGCGCATACGTGGACAGAGAGTGGTTGAGAAAAAGCACTGACAATGAGGAGATGGATGACGGAGAAGATTTTACTTTGATTAATTCAGATATCTCAACGGACCTTGCAAAATTCCTTCATGTCCGACCTGTCAGTCGACTTCTTCTAGACTCAGAAGAATTGCCCGTTTTTGAACAAGCTGGACAGCATGAACCCTTGACTACTCGCTTGTGGAATATCCTCAAGAACAACTATGTGGACACCGCTATCGTTAGTGAAATGATACAGAATGCGGAAGATGCAGGAGCTCAGGAAGTCCGCTTTCTCATCGACATGAGAAATAACGAAAATGCTAACCAGAAACTATTCGATCCTGAAATGAAGTCTTTTCAGGGACCAGCCCTTTGGGTATACAACGATGCTGTATTCACAGACCAAGACTTTGAAAACATTCTCCGTCTTGGAGGGCGTACCAAGGAAAAGGACGCTGAAAAGATCGGGAAATTTGGGACCGGTTTCAACTCGGTGTACCGCATAACTGATGTTCCAAGCTTTGTTAGTAGGGACTACATGCAGTTTTTCGACCCTCATACCACACATCTCAAAAGCGTTCTCCCGAACAAGAGTCAACCCGGTGTACGTCTCAGATTGAATAGCACCAAACCACTCCGGAGATTCCCAGATCAGTTCAAGCCATTCAATGGAGTGTTCGGGCTCGATTTCAGTGGAGGAAATGAGCCATTCAACTACAACGGAACACTTTTTAGACTGCCCCTCCGTTCTAAAGAAGCTGCACAGAAAAGCCGAATATGCCAGGAGAGCTACGATGGGGAGAAACTGATCAACCTGATGCAGAAAATGTGGGAATCATCACAAAACCTCCTGGTATTCACAAAAAAGGTAAAGAAGGTCGCCCTGTTCTACCTTTCTGAGAATTCTAGCGATCCTACCAGGGCTGAGGAGTTACTCACCATACAGAAGACCATGCTATCTCATAGGGTGAAGGATGACGGCACCGTCGTGTCAACTGAATCATTCCGCTGCACAATGACTGCAAAGGGAAATGAAATGATGTCACAGAAACAAGAAGTTAGTGGAGACCTGGACATAGTCAAAGTGATATGCAAGACTTCAGAACAGGCAGCATCTCTTGCAAAATCTCCGGATGGCAAAGAGTGTGGACTTTCACCTGAAGGTGCGGTTGCCTTTCCTTTTCATAGACCACCAATGTCTGAATTTGAGAAGCAGATCTACTGCTTTCTTCCCCTCTCAATTCGCAGCTTGTTCCCGGTACATATCAACGGATCTTTTGCTGTAAAAGAGGATCGGCGGAGTCTTCACATGCCAGTCCCCGATGGAAGGTTGATATCTGAGAAATGGAATCACATACTTCTGGCAGATGTGATCTGCAGAGCGTACGTTGCTCTGTTGTCTGACAGTGAGTTTATTCAACAAGTGAAGGACACATACGGCTCAGATATGTCTCCTGAGGAGTTGTGGCCAGATATTGATGACGTACCAAATAATTCAGAATGTTCAGCACTGTTTGATGCTTTCTACAAGGCAATGGTACATGGGTTTGATGGCCATGAACCATCATTGTTCTGGAAAGATGGCAAATCGCATCAGTTCACGAATGTTGTGTTCCTTAGTGAAGAAGTTCAAAAGGAGACATCTGTCAGTGATGTGGTAACAAAGGTACTAAGCGAACATCTCCCATCAATAGAAGTGA